TAACCTCTAGACCCATCCATCACTGTCCCCCTCACACTCCCAGTCGACAGCCCAGGACAGGCAGAGTCTGCTGGGTGTCTGAGCCAGACAACTACCCCTCTCCGGTGCCTCTCTCTCTCTAGTGGGGCTCACTAAGGTAACTTCCATTCAGTCTTTCTTTATACAAACCGTGGCTTCCACCGGAGAGAGAGAGGAAAGAAGGAGGGAAACTTAATCCGGCTATTGAAGGAGAGGAGGAACAGACGGGGTCTTTTTCTTTTTCACCCCTACCAAAATACCCTCCCTGTTTCACATCCCTCTCCTCCTACACGCACAACACACACAACACACACACAGCCTTCTGCCCAACACCCCATAAACACCCCTCTTTCCTATTCAGAGTTGTCTGCCCAACACTGCTGCCAGCACACTCTCCTCTCCTATGGAGAATCTAACATGAACTTGTGTCCTCTGTATACGTCATGTCTATGTAGCACTAAGATGATACATTTACATTTTAGTCATTTAGCAGACGCTCTTATCCAGAGCGACTTACAGTTAGTGAGTGCATACATTTTCATACTCGCCCCCCTGTGCGAAACGAACCCACAACCCTGGCGATGCAAGCGCCATGCTCTACCAACTGAGCTACAGGGGACTCTTCTTGATACAAAACTCTTCCATTAATTAAAGGGGTTCAGAATAATTCTCAATTTAGAGCTGGGCTGAAACAAAAGCCTGCACGTCATGTAGCTCTCTCCAGAGACCAGTTTTTCAATTTAAATTTAAAAAAATGAATAGAACGGGAGTCCCCATTCAAGTCAATGATTTGTCCGTTCTATTCATTCTATTTTTATGCATGCAATCCTATCCAATAGGCGAAATCCAGATAAATAGCTTTTGAAAAACTGGGCCCAACCTTGCCTCCTCCCCATACTTAAGCCAAAGGGTTGATCAATCACCCCAAGGCTTGTTTTAGGGGCGATGGCTTTTGTCTTTGACCGTGACAGCGGAACAAAACATTTGCACCCAAATAAAACCAGGTCGTCATGAGTACAGATTTGATCGCCATTCTTATCCCCCTTCTTTGACGGCACAATCGAACCACTTAATGTCAAAATTCTCTGGGTAGACAGAAATAGGCTGTGATGGAATGGAGAGAGAGTGTGTGCATGCATGGTGGGGGATATCACAAGAAGGCCTCTGACTGGTAGTTTTAAAGTGAGGTTCTCCCATTCAGCCGCTCTGATAGGTAGAGGAGGAAAGGACCAGATGAACACTGAGACATAGAAATGGTCATACGCACACACCATCTAGGGGTGTCCGTTTGTAGTGCCAACATGCTCAGCTGTGAGCTTCGGCCTGTAAACCCAAGCTCTACCACTCTTTCTCACACTGGCATTTATGCATGACCAAGATCTCACCATATGACATTTTTATTTTACCAGGTAAGTTGACTGAGAACACGTTCTCATTTACAGCAACAACCTGGGGAATAGTTACAGGGGAGAGGAAGAATGAGCCAACTGGCAGCTGGGGATGGTTAGGTGGCCATGATGGTATGAGGGCCAGATTGGGAATTTAACACCCCTACTCTTACGTTAAATGCCATGGGATCTTAAGTGACCACAGAGTTCAGACACCCGTTTAACGTCCCATCTGAAAGACGGCACCCTACACAGGGAAATGTCCCCAATCACTGCCCTGGGGTATTGGGATATTTTTTTGGGGGGGGAACCAGAGGAAAGAGTGCCTCCTACTGGCCCTCCAACACCACTTCCAGCAGCATCTGGTCTCCCATCCAGGGACCAACCCTGCTTAGCTTCAGAGGAAAGCCAACAGTGGGATGCAGGGTGGTATGCTGCTGACCTAATATTGACTGTGTGTGTGTGCGTGCATGTTTATACGTGCGCTCAGTCATTTGAGGTTGTTGCGATGGTGTGTGTTAGGGAGTGCTGTTACTGTCTTAAAAACCATGGGATCTCATGCGTCTCTGCACCCATTGGGGGGAGGGGGGCCTGGCTGCCAAGTGGGTGGGCCTATGCCCTCCCAGGCCCACCCATGGCTGCACTCCTGCCCAGTCATGAAATCCATAGATTAGGGCCTAATGAATTTATTTCAGTTGACTGATTTCCTTATATGAACTGTAACTCTGTAAAATCTTAGAAATTGTTGCATGTTGCGGTTATATTTGTGTTCAGTATATTTGGTTAACTATTTATATAACTATTTAGCAGTATTATGGCTTGGGGGTAGAAGCTGTTCAGGGTCCTGTTGGTTCCAGAATTGGTGCATCGGTACCGCTTGCCGTGCGGTAGCAGAGAGAACAGTCTATGACTTGGGTGGCTGGAGTCTTTGACAATTTTTAGGGCCTTCCTCTGATACCGCCTGGTATAGAGGTCCTGGATGGCAGGGAGCTCAGCCCCAGTGATGTACTGGGACATACGCACTACCCTCTGTAGTGCCTTGCGGTCCGATGCCAAGCAGTTGCCATACCAAGCGGTGATGCAGCCAGTCAAGATGCTCTCAGTGGTGCAGCTGTAGAACTTTTTGAGGATCTGAGGGTCATGATATAACCTTAGTGATAGGCTTGGTTGGTATCCAGATTGTCATACCTTCATACCGACCACGTGCCATTCTGGGATATTCTGTAATACCGGCACTGAACACAAGGGGTGCTGTTTTCAAACCCCACTGATACTCTGTAATCCAAAGGTTAGCAATGCTAACAAGTACATGGAAAATCCTATAGAGAATGCTAACTAAATGCTAACGAGCGCATCGCAAACATTTTGTACAGTTTCTGACCTAAAGTATACAAGTAACAAAAAAATGCTTTTCCAGTTTGCTGCATGCACAAAACAAATATTAGCCAGCAAGGCTCTTGATCCAGTAGGGGCTTCGCTGATGTTACCAAGCGAATGCTTGATTTTGGAGAAGCTAACCTCTTAGCTAGATAGCTAACTAGTTACTAAATTATCAAACCAGAGCATTTAGCAGATTTTATACAGTTAACTTAATAGTTATAAGATATCTAGCTGGCAAACATTTAGTTGTGAATTGCGTACTGTAATTAAATCACCTGGCGAATGCTGCACAACAGTGAGTGACTCACAAGGCTCTGGTCATCGTTGTGTGCTTGTAAACAAACACCATGTGACTGGGGACTACTGTAAGCTTCATAATAATGTAAACAATTAAAAAGTAGCTACAAATATTAAAATGTATTAAAAAACTTCAAAGAAATCGTTTCTTTTTCCAAATACCCCGGTATATATACGGTATACCGTCCAAGCCTACTTAGTGATGTGGACACCGAAGAACTTGAAGCGCTCAACCCTCTCCACTACAGTCCCGTTGATGTGAATGGGGATGTGCTCGAATGGGGATGTGCTCGGCCCTCCATGTCCTGTAGTCCACGATCAGCTACTTTATCTTGCTAACGTTGAGGGAGAGGTTGTTGTCGCTGCCAGGTCTCTGTCCTCCTCCCTATATGCTGTCTCATTGTTGTCGGTGAACAGGCCTACCATGGTCGTGTTGTCAGCAAACTTAATGATGGTGTTGGAGTCGTGCGCAGTCGTGGGTGAACAGGGAATACAGGAGGGGACAAAGCACGCACCACTGATGGGCCCCCGTGTTCAGGGTCAGTGTGGCAGATGTGTTGTTGCCTACCCTCACCACCTGGGGGCGACCCATCAGGAAGTCCAGGATCCAGTTGCAGAGGGAGGTGTTCAGTCCCAGGGTCCTTAGCTTAGTGATGAGCTTTGTGGGCACTATGGTGTTGAACGCTGAGCTTTAGTCAATTAACAGCATTCTCACGTAGGTGTTCCTTTTGTCCAAGTGGGAAAGGGCAGTGTGGAGTGCAATAGAGATTGCGTAATCTGTGGATCTTTTGGGGCGGTATGCGAATTGGAGTGGGTCCAGGGTGTCTGGGATGATGGTGTTGATGTGAGCCATGACCAGCCTTTCAAAGCATTTCATGGCTACAGATGTGAGTGCTACGGGGCGATAGTCATTTATACAGGTTACCTTGGCATTCTTAGGAACAGGGACTATGGTGGTCTGCTTGAATCATTTAGGTGTTACAGACTGGTTTAGGGAGAGGTTGAAAATGTCAGTGAAGACACTTGCCAGCTGGAGACACACACTCACAGTATACACATGCCTGCTCCTATTGTACAAATTATACATAGACGTACACACAGAGGTTGTTTTGACAGGCCCTCTGTGTATCTGTGTCTGTATTAGATGTATGAACTGTTCATATGAGGTGACATTTAGACAGTGTAAAACCCTCACACTGGTCGCCTGTCTGCTAGTCAAACACAAGGAAATCCCATCTCTGTCTGTCTGCCTCTGTCTCTCACGATCTATTTCTCTGCTGGGGATTATATCTACTTTAGATGGGGTGTGTGTGTGTGTGTGTGTGATTTCCATTTTCTGTGAGCCTTTACATGCCTAAGAAAGAGCACTAATCCTTTTTCACAGCATTAAAGTGATAGACAGGGCAAATTAGTGGGATTGTGTGTGTGCATACAGAGTGTGTGTTTTGACACGAGTGCTCGTTACACAGATTGCTAGGGCTTGTAGAGAAAATGCATGTAGACAAAAGCACCGATGTAGCCACTAGCTAGTTAGCCAGCTTCTAGAGCAGGGATGGGTTCTCTCCATCTTTCTAACCCCGAAGTATCTGCTGTTTCTTCTTCTTCAAACCAGCATCTGATTTAGACTTGGGAAACCAGGTGTGTTTACCAGCAGAGCAGACACTCGGGCCACCAAGGACCAGAGTTTCCCATCCCTGCTCAATAGCATAAAGGTTTATCTCTTTGCTCTCTGTGGGTGATGTGATGCTGTGGCTGGTTGTGGCTGGCCAAAGGCATGATATTCACTGTGTGTGTCCTGACTGTTCTCTGATGTGAGGGCTGCCTGTGAATATTTCATAGCCTGGACTAAATATTGATGGTGCTTCTGACATTCAGTCTCTCTCTATCCCCCTCTCCTTCTCTCCTTTCCTCTCTCAGCCCTTCCACCCCATGGTGAACCTGCAGTGTTCGGAGGACCTGAGGATGTTCCTGTGTGCTCTCTACGCTCCAGTCTGTATGGAGTATGGCCGGGTGTCCATGCCCTGCCGAGCCCTGTGCCACCGCGCCAAGAGGGACTGCCACAAACTCATGGAGATGTTTGGGGTGGCCTGGCCAGACGAGATAGAGTGTAGCAAGTATGTATGGGACTGTCCCTGGGTTGGCTTTACACAACACTGAGCACTTCACTGACCATAATGACTTAACCCAAACTCTGCCTTGATTGACCACTAACCTGAGCCTATCCTGAGCCTACTTTGTCCTAAACTTACCCTGAGCCTACTTTAACCTGAACTTACCCTGAGCCTACTTTAAACTGAATTTACCCTGAGCCTACTTTAACCTTCACTTAGCCTGAGCCAACTTTAACCTTAACCTAGCCTGAGCTTACTTTAACCTGAATTTACTCTGAGCCTAATTTAACCTGAACTTACTCTTAAATTGTTGGAGAAATCTTAAACTGTCCATAGCCCAGTATCACCATCATCACAACCCTAATCTTATCTGAGCTCCATGTAGAGCATGAACCTTGAACCCTGACTGGTTCTCAACTCAAACATCACAATCCTTCTTACTAACCAAAGCCCAAACCACAACCTAAACTCAACCTTAACCACATTATAAAAATAGTTCTCTCTCTCTTTCTCTCTCTCTGCCCCTCCTCCCCCCAGGTTCCCAGACTGTGACGAGCCCTACCCCCGTGCGGTGGACCTCCAGACCAGCGTGGATCCCACCGACATCTCTCCTATGTCTGTCCAGAGGGACTTCGGCTTCTGGTGCCCCCGCGAGCTCAAAATAGAGCCCGACCTGGGCTACTCATTCCTGGGCGTGAGGGAGTGCTCACCCCCGTGCCCCAACATGTACTTCCAACGCCCGGAGCTCACCTTCGTCCGCTACTTCATCGGCGTGGTGTCCATCGTCTGTCTCTCGGCGACACTCTTCACCTTCCTCACCTTCCTCATCGACGTCACGAGGTTCCGCTACCCGGAGCGGCCAATCATTTTCTACGCCGTGTGCTACATGATGGTGTCGCTGGTGTTCTTCCTGGGCTTCCTATTGGAGGACAGGGTGGCGTGCAACGCGGCAAGCCCGGCCCAGTACCGGGCGGCCACCATCACACAGGGCTCCCACAACAAGGTGAGCCATCCCCGCCCGTTGTCTTAGTGATTGATTGATTAGCTGCTTTACTCTGTGACATTCAGGGCCACTACTGTATATCAAAGAAGGTAGCAATGATAGGATGTAAAGTGTGAGATATTTTCAATGTTACCCCCTCCAGGCATGCACGCTGCTGTTCATGGTGCTCTACTTCTTCACTATGGCGGGCAGCGTGTGGTGGGTCATCCTCACCATCACCTGGTTCCTGGCGGCCGTGCCCAAGTGGGGCAGCGAGGCCATCGAGAAGAAGGCCCTTCTCTTTCATGCCTGTGCCTGGGGCCTGCCCGGCTGCCTCACCGTGGCCCTGCTGGCCCTCAACAAGATCGAGGGCGACGGCGTGAGTGGCGTGTGCTTTGTGGGCCTCTACGACGTCACGGCGCTGCGCTGGTTCCTGCTGGCGCCTCTCTGCCTCAACGTGGTGGTGAGTGTTCTATGCTCTAGAATGGAGAGCTGTTCATTCTAAAGGCTTTTACACCTCTCTTCAATTAACGAATGATCTTGCATTGGGTAGTTAATTCCCGACTCAGACCAACTGTTTGTGGCTGATTCTACATGTTAAATCTGGACCAACTACGATGGAGAATGTCTAGCGGCGAACAACTGAGATTACACAAGGGGCAGATTCTTTCAACAACCGTCCATAGACGGTTGGGCTGGCTGTTGGACAGATGCGTAGAAGCCTTTAGAATCTGACCTACGCATCACTAACATACAGTACCAGTCAAAAGTTTGGACACACCTACTCATTCAAGGGTTTTTCTTTATTGTAGAATAATAGTGAAGACTATTATTCAAAACGATGAAATAACACATATGGAATGATGTAGTAACCAAAAAAGTGTTAAACACATCAAAATATATTTGAGATTCTTCAAAGTAGCCACCCTTTGCCTTGATGACAGCTTTGCACACTCTTGGCATTCTCTCAACCAGCTTCATGAGGTAGTCACCTGGAATGCATTTCAATTAACAGGTGTGTCTTGTTAAAAGTTAATTTGTGGAATTTCTTTCCTTCTTAATGCGTTTGAGCCAATCAGTTGTGTTGTGACAAGGTAGGGGGGGGGGGGGGGTATACAGAACATAGCCCTATTTGGTAAAATACCAAGTCCATAGTATGGCAAGAACAGCTCAAATAAGCAAAGAGAAACAACAGTCCATCATTACTTTAAGACATGAAGGTCAGTCAATACGGAACATTTCAAGAACTTTGAAAGTTTCTTCAAGTGCAGTCGCAAAAACCATCAAGCGCTATGATGAAACTGGCTCTCATGAGGACCGCCACAGGAAAGGAAGACCCAGAGTTACCTCTGCTGCAGAGGATAAGTTCATTAGAGTTAACTGTACCTCAGATTGCAGCCCAAATAAATGCTTCACAGAGTTCAAGTGACACATCTCCACATAAACTGTTCAGAGGAGACTGCGTGAATCAGGCCTTCACGGTCGAATTGCTGCAAAGAAACCACTACTAAATGACACCAATAATAAGAAGATACTTGCTTGGGCCAAGAAACACGAGCAATGGACATTAGACCGGTGGAAATCTGTCCTTTGATCTGATGAGTCCAAATTTGAGATTTTTGGTTCTAACCACCGTGTCTTTGTGAGACGCAGAGTAGGTGAACGGATGATCTCCGCATGTGTGGTTCCCACCGTGAAGCATGGAGGAGGAGGTGTGATGGTGTGGTGGTGACACTGTCTGTGATTTATTTACAATTCAAAGGCACACTTAACCAGCATGGCTACCACAGCATTCTGCAGCGATACGCCATCCCATCTGGTTTGCGCTTAGTGGACTATCATTTGTTTTTCAACAGGACAATGACCCAACACACCTGCAGGCTGTGTAAGGGCTATTTGACCAAGATGGAGTGCTGCATCAGATGACCTGGCCTCCACAATCACCCGACCTCAACCCAATTGAGATGGTTTGGGATGAGTCGGACCGCAGAGTGAAGAAAAAGCAGCCAACAAGTGCTCAGCATATGTGGGAACTCCTTCAAGACTGTTGGAAAAGCATTCCAGGTGAAGCTGGTTGAGAGAATACTGTACTCCTGAGTGGCGCAGTGGTCTAAGGCACTGCATCGCAGTGCTAACTGTGCCACTAGAGATCCTGGTTCGAATCCAGGCTCTGTCGCAGCCGGCCGCGACCGGGAGACTCATGGGCGGCGCACAATTGGCCCAGCGTCGTCCAGGGTAGGGGAGGGAATGGCCGGCAGGGATGTAGCTCAGTTGATAGAGCATGGCGTTTGCAACGCCAGGGTTGTGGGTTCGATTCCCACGGGGGCCAGTATAAAAAATATATATATATATATATTATTAATAAATATATAAAAAATTATAAATATAAAACAAAAATTGAAAAAAAATACAATAAAATGTATTCACTAACTGTAAGTCGCTCTGGATAAGAGCGTCTGCTAAATGACTAAAATGTAAAATGTAAAAAAATTGAATGCCAAGAGTGTGCAAAGCTGTCATCAAGGCAAAGGGTGGCTACTTTGAAGAATCTCAAATCTCAAATATATTTTGATTTGTGTAACACTTTTTTGGTTACTACATGATTGCATATGTGTTATTTCATAGTTTTTATGTCTTCACTATTATTCTACAATGTAGAAAATAGTAAAAAATAAAGAAAAACCCTTGAATGAGTAGGTGTGTCCAAACTTTTCACTGGTACTGTACATGTGATGGTCCCTTGAATCAATACATTATCAATATCTGAAGATGGTCCCTTTGAATCAATACATTATCAATATCTGAAGATGGTCCCTTTGAATCAATACATTATCAATATCTGAAAATGGTCCCCTTGAATCAATACATTATCAATATCTGAAAATGGTCCCCTTGAATCAATACATTATCAATATCTGAAGATGGTTCCCTTGAATCAATACATTATCAATATCTGAAGATGGTCCCTTTGAATCAATACATGATCAATATCTGAAGATGGTCCCCTTGAATCAATACATTATCAATATCTGAATATGGTCCCCTTGAATCAATACATAATCAATATCTGATGATGGTCCCCTTGAATCAATACATAATCACTATCTGAAGATGGTTCCCGTGAATCAATACATAATCAATATCTGAAGATGGCCCCCTTGTTCTCTAATTCCTATATATCTGCCTGTAGGTGGGTGTGTCTCTGCTTCTGACGGGGATTGTGGCTCTGAACCGTGTGCGTATGGAGATCCCTCTGGAGAAGGAGAACCAGGACAAGCTGGTGAAGTTTATGATCCGTATCGGGGTGTTCTCTGTGCTCTACCTGGTGCCCCTGCTCACGGTAATCTCCTGCTACCTGTATGAACACAGCTACAGGACTCTCTGGGAGACCACCTGGGTCCAGGAGCGTTGCAGAGACTACCACATACCCTGTCCCTACCAGGTAGGTGGACAGTTCCTTCAGAAAGTATTCATACCCTTTGACATATTCCACATTTTGTTGTGTTACAGACATAATTAAAAATGGATAAAAAATCTCACCCATCTATACCCCATAATGACAAAGTGAAAACATGTTTTTAGACATCTTTACAAATGTATTGAAAATGAAATACAGAAATATCTTATTTACATAAGTATTCACATCCCTGAGTCAATACTTTGTAGAAGCACCTTTGGCAGCGATTACAGCTGTGAGTCTTTCTAGGTAAGTCTCTAAGCACTTTCTACACCTGGATTGTGCAACATTTGCCCATTATTCTTTTCAAAAGTCTTGACAAAAAGTTAATTGCTTTGCCACATTTTCTGGCAGTATTACTTTAGTGCCTAGTTTGCAAATAGGATGCATGTTTTGGAATATTGTTATTCTGTGCAGGCTTCCTTCTTTTCACTCTGTCAATTAAATTAGTATTGTGGAGTAACTACAATGTTGTTGATCCATCCTCAGTTTTCTCCTTTCACAGCTATTAAACTCTGTAACTGTTTTAAAGTCACCATTGGTCTCATGGTGAAATGCCTGAACAGTTTCCTTCCTCTCTGGCAACTGAGTTAGGAAGGATGCCTGTATCTTTTTAGTGACTGGGTTTATTGATAAACCATCCAAAGTGTAATTAATAACTTCACCATGCTCAAAGGGATATTCAACGTCTGCTTTTTTATTTTTACACATCTACCAATAGATGCCCTTCTTTGCGAGGCACTGGAAAACCTCCCTGGTCTTTGTAGTTGAGTTTGTGTTTGAAATTCACTGCTCGACTGAGGGACCTTACAGATATGTGTATGTTTGGGGTACAGAGATGAGGTAGTCATTCAAAAATAATGTTAAACACTATTGTTGTTCACAGAGTGAGTCCATGCTACTTATTATGTGCCTTGTTAAGCAAATATTTACTCCTGAACTTATTTAGGCATAACAAAGGGGTTGAATACTTACAGTCCTTCACTTTTTCCACATTTTGTTACGTTACAGCCTTATTCTAAAATGTATTAAATAGTTTTTTCCCCCTCGTCAATCTACACACAATACCCCATAATGACAAAGCGAAAACAGTTTTTTATAAATTTTGCAAATGTGTTAAAAATAAAAAACAGATATCACATTTATATAAGTATTCAGACCCTTTACTCAGTACTTTGTTGAAGCACTTTTGGCAGCGATTACAGCCTTGAGTCTTCTTGGGTATGACGCTACAAGCTTGGCGCACCTGTATTTGGGGAGTTTCTCCCATTCTTCTCTGCAAATCCTCTCAAGCTCTGTCAGGTTGGATGGGGAGCGTCGATGCACAGCTATTTTCAGTTCTCTCCAGAGATGTCCGATCGGGTTCAAGTCTGGGCTCTGGCTGGGCCACTGAAGGAAGTGTGCTTAGGGTTGTTGTCCTGTTGGAAGGTGAACCTTCACCCCAGTCCGAGGTCCTGAGCAAGTTTTCATCAAGGATCTCTCTGTACTTTGCTCCATTCATCTTTCCCTCGATCCTGACTAGTCTCCCAGTCCCTGCCGCTGAAAAACATCCCCACAGCATGATGCTGCCACCACCATGCTTCACAGTAGGGATGGTGCCAGGTTTCCTCCAGACGTGACACTTGGCATCCAGGCCAAAGAGTTCAATCTTGGTTTCATCAGAGCAGAGAATCTTGTTTCTCATGGTCTGAGAGTCCTTTAGGTGCCTTTTTGCAAACTCCAAGCGGGCTGTCATGTGCCTTTTACTGAGGAGTGGCTTCCGTCTGGCCACTCTACCATAAAGGCCGGATTGGTGGAGTGCTGCAGAGATGGTTGTCCTTCTGGAAGGTTCTCCCATCTCCACAGAGGAACTCTGGAGCTCTGTCAGAGTGACCATCGGGTTCTTGGTCACCTCCCTGACCAAGGCCCTTCTCCCACGATTGCTCAGTTTGGCCGGGCAGCCAGCTCTAGGAAGAGTCTTGGTGGTTCCAAACTTCTTCCATTTAAGAATGATGGCGGCCACTGTGTTCTTGGGGACCTTCAATGCTGCAGAAATGTGGTACCTTTCCCCAGATCTGTGCCTCGACACAATCCTGTCTCGGAGCTCTACGGACAATTCCTTCAACCTCATGGCTTGGTTTTTGCTCTGACATACACTGTTAACTGTGGGACCTTATAAAGACAGGTGTGTGCCTTTCCAAATCATGTCCAATCAAGTGAATTTACCACAGGTGGACTCCAATCAAGTTGTAGAAACATCTCAAGGATGATCAGTGGAAACAGGATGCACCTGAGCTCAATTTCGAGTCCTATAGCAAAGGGTCTGAATACTTATGTAAATAAGGTATTTCTGTTTTTTTATATATTTGCAAACATTTCTAAAACCTGTTTTCGCTTTGTCATTATGGGGTATTGTGTGTAGATTGATGAGGATAAAAAAAAAATCAAATCCATTTTAGAATATGGCTGTAATGTAACAAAATGTGGAAAAAGTGAAGGGTTCTGAATACTTTCCGAATGTACTGTATTGACTGAAGACATTTCAACTTTTCATTTTTTATTTATAAAAATATAATTCCACTTTGACATTATGGGGTATTGTGCATAGGCCAGCGATGAAAAATCTCAATTTAATACATTTAAAAATCAGGCAGTAACACAACAAAATGTGGAAATGGGTGTGAATACTTACTTAAGGCACTGTAAGTGTAGAGGTCTCTCTCTCTCTGTGTGTGGGCTAGTTTACTGCTCCTATTACAAGTCCCTCTCTACTTAGTTTACTGTAACCCACACATTGTAACGTTACTCTGCCCAACCCAACTGCACGGTATTAAGTTTCCTCCACTCTGTGGAGGCTTTGTAGTGCTCCCTGTTAATTATTAAGCAGCTGCTGTGTGTGTGTTTTAGAGCTGGCACAATTAACCGTAAAACATTTTTGGTAACGAACTGCTGACTGAAGACGGGACGGCCGGGCATTCGTGCGGTTGAGTCCGTTTCTGCGGTAACATGGACTCTTAACAACGTGATGAAACTTTGCTGCTCCTTGCTGAAACAACCCACTGGGCACAGATGTCAGTTCAATGTCTAGTTTTGGTTGATTTTTCAACTAATGTGAATTCAATGTGAAATCAACAAAAAACCATGTCATTGGATTCAACCAATCAGTTTTCCACGTTCATTCAACGTCATCGATTTTTGGGGGGCTTGAAATGACGTGGAAACAACATTGATCCCACCAGTTTTGCCCAGTGGGAAGCAAGGTGTTGTAGCAAACGAGCACACATAGAAAGGTGAAATCAAGGTGTAGCAGTAGCACACATTGAACAGGAATGAATAGAACGGGTTTGGAACCTATAACCCTGGCAATTTGGCTGGTAAACGCATGGGTACACTCGCAATGGCTGCCTGGTATTGTGATGCGATCATTTCCATGGTAATGTAGAATGTTCATTAAAATGATGTTAACTGATGTGGCTCATGCAATGGAATGTATTTTTTTTGTAATGTCAGTGGATTTGAATCAACAAATCACAGCACATATTGTATTTACATTTACGTCATTTAGCAGACGCTCTTATCCAGAGCGACTTACAAATTGGTGCATTCACCCTATAGCCAGTGGGATAACCACTTTACAATATATACAGTGGGGAGAACAAGTATTTGATACACTGCCGATTTTGCAGGTTTTCCTACTTACAAAGCATGTAGAGGTCTGTAATTTTTATCATAGGTACACTTCAACTATGAGAGACGGAATCTAAAACAAAAATCCAGAAAATCACATTGTATGATTTTTAAGTAATTAATTTGCATTTTATTGCATGACATAAGTATCAGCAGGGAGGAGAATGTGGCAAAGAGCTTCCTAGGGTTAGAGGCAGATGCTTGGAATTTAGAGTGGTAGAAAGTGGCCTTAGCAGCAGAAACAGATGAAGAAAATGTAGAGAGGAGGGAGTGAAAAGATGCCAGGTCCGCAGGGAGTCTAGTTTTCTTCCATTTCCGCTCAGCTGCCTGGAGCTCTGTTCTGTGAGCTCGCAATGAGTCATCAAGCCACGGAGCTGGAGGGGAGGACCGAGCCGGCCGGGAGGATAGGGGACACAGAGAGTCAAAGGATGCAGAAAGGGAGGAGAGGAGGGTTGAGGAGGCAGAATCAGGAGATTTAAGAGTGTGCTCCTAATCTCAGCTCGTTACCTGTATAAAAGACACCTGGGAGCCAGAAATCTTTCTGATTGAGAGGGGGTCAAATACTTATTTCCCGCATTAAAATGCTAATCAATTTATAACATTTTTGACATGCGTTTTTCTGGATTTTTTTGTTGTTATTCTGTCTCTCACTGTTTAAATAAGCCTACCATTAAAATTATAGACTGATTATTTCTTTGTCAGTGGGCAAACGTACAAAATCAGCAGGGGATCAAAAACTTTTTTTCCTCACTGTAATTCCATGCGGAAGCGTTCGAAATTAAACAAATTCATGGGACCAGCGCTGTTGCTGGATTCTACAGGATTAGCTTTGAAAAATTGACCAGCGGTCGGGAAATCCAGTAATAAAGTGGCTGTAGATTATTATTTTTTAATTCTAAATGAATAGAATGACAGTTATAATATGTGTTCGCTGAGTAGTTAGCTGAAATTCAGTACAATTGTGTTTGTTTTTCACTTTGATGCCAAACTTTCTGTACTGCTACCATTCACTCCCAGTCATTCCGAATGCGGAAGCTGGTCCCTTGTTGAATAGAGGCGCAAAGAGTTATGGCAGGGTTCCCCAACTGGCTGCCCGCGGGCCAAATTGTGGTTTTATTTGGCCCCTCAAGTTTTCTGAGAAAAAATAATAAATGGGTTGGACATAAAATACTGTAAAAACACCAGCAAATCAGCTCCAAATTATTTACAATTTGTAAATCTGTTCCCAAGTATTCCCAGACATAATAGAGAGACACATGATTGTATACAAATGT